GGGGGGTGTTCATCACTGAGGCCCTGGACATGGCAGCACGAGCTGTTGCGAAGGCGTAACAGTGAGAATGATGACAATTTACGCAAACAAACTTTCCTTCCTCTTCTGTGCGGGCCTCGCCCTGCTGAGACGTCCTGCGAGGATCCGGCATGTCTCGATTGTTCTGCCAAGATTCTATGAAGCGGCTTGAGAGCCTCTTTGCTCATTCGTGGTGAACACGCTGCAACAGCATAATGCTAAACGCATTTACTCCTTATTGTGAAGATGTACGCGGGGGACAGGTGCCCAAACCGGGTGCATTTTTTGGGGGCTTCGCGGAGCTGTGATATCGCTCCCCGCTAGCAATTTCCGTATGGTCTTTTTCTTTTGTCTAGATTACGGGCTTCGGTTGCTAGATGCACCTGCTTATCGTGAAGACTCTTACGGCGCTTCGGTTCGATTCGCTCTGGGCATCCAAGTATGGTCATGTCTGCTACGAAGTTTGTCGTAGGCTGCGTGCTCAATCAGCGTTGACCCCACCGGATCATCATCCCCCCAGTGCGTCAAACAAAGGTGTGTGTGCGTGGCGGCCTGGTTCGCAAGTAGGCTCCGTTAGCACGCACTCGTCTCGGCTCGCGGGTGCCGCGCCGAAGCCGGAGTGCGAGGGTATGACCGAACGAGCACAGGACGAATAAACCCCAACGAGTCGGCCGGCGGGCATGCCATCCATGTTGTTCTTTTTTGTTCTTTTTTGTTCTGTTTTGTCCTCGGGACAAAATCATTGCAACGCACTTGCCACGCGCGTGTGTTATGTTTATGACGGTTGAGACGTAGGCAACTCTACTCTACTTGCCATCAAGGCCATATCACCATCGTCATCACCGAGCGAGTGAGCAACCACCTGGCGCGCTCTCATGGCGCCATCCTCTACTACGGCTACGTCCGGGGTCGACCAGGCCGCCACGAGCGGCTTCGACGACGCCGCCGCGTACGACCTGCACCGGCCGTCGTACCCGGCACAGGCCGTTGAGTCGCTGCTCGGGCACCTCGGCGTCGCGGGCCGGGGCGGCGGCGCGCGCGTCGTCGACCTCGCGGCGGGGACGGGCAAGTTCACGGAGCTGCTGGCGGCGCGGCCCGAGGGCCTCGAGGTCGTGGCCGTGGAGCCCGTGGACGCGATGCGGCGCACGCTCGAGGCCAAGGCGCTGCCGGGCGTGATCGTGCGCGAGGGGCTGGCGACGGCCATGGATGTCGACGCCGCATGGGCGGACGCCGTCGTGGCGGCGCAGTCGTTTCACTGGTGAGTACTTTCACACTACAACTTTACCAGACTTGGGTGGCCTGGCGTGCGTCACGGAGAAAGGGGCGGGGCTCAAGACATGGATTGCTTCCAGGTTCGCGCACGAGGAGGCGCTGCACGAGATACGCCGCGTGCTCAAGCCCGGCGGCAAGCTGGGCGTCATCTGGAACATTGAAGAGTGTACGTCACGCCCCCTTCCCGGCCCTGAAGCCTCGGGCTCTCTCTCGCGCGCAGAGGTCGCTAAACGCACGAGGAACCGGTCCCTCAGACAACCAGCCGCGCGCGTGGGAGACGTCTACCGAGTGGGAGCGGCAGCTCAACGAGCTCATCCTGGGGCTGCCGGCCGACGGGCCGCCTCGCTTCCGCGACGACAAGTGGCGGGACGTGTTCGAGCGGCAGGCGCGCGCCGACCAGCCCGTCGTCTCGACGCCCCTCGCTGAGGAGCGGCTGCCGTTCACGGTGTGGCGGACGCGCGAGCTGCTCTGGGACCGCGTCAACACGCTGAGCCAGGTGTACATGCTCAAGGAGGGCGGCGAGAGGGAGGCGTTCCGGGCACGCTTCGACGAGATCCTCGACGGCGCGGGCGGCGACAAGTGGAACGACAAGGGCGAGATTGAGTTTCACGGGACGACGGTGTATGCGTGGACGGCGAGACTGTGAGCGCAGGCAGGACTTGGTGGTCGACTGTCTCGCCCCGCATGCTTGAGCTTCATTTCCTTTTCGATTTCGTATCTATCATCCCTCATGAGTCTGCGGAAATATACATGACTGCCGGAGTGTTAGCTACCGCGTCATGCTTGCTGGTGCGCAAGGGGGCGTCGACTCACCGTTGTTGCCTCGCACAAAGGCGTCGCCGTACTCCCTCCGTTTGGTGCCGTTGACGAACTCCTGCGTCTTCTCCAGCGCTATGTTCATGTACCCGTCCACGGACTGCAGCTCTCCTGTCACGCAACACAAGGTCAGCAGCAGGCCTCGCCAATCGGACCCGAGGCGGGTGTGGAGACGAAAAAAAGAAAGCAAACGCGTGCGGTGAGGCACCGTCGTACTCGTCCTCCGCCCACTCACTCACCCTTGTAGACGACGCCCGAGTTGAGCTTGACGATGACGGGGTTACCGATGATGTCGCTCAGGAAGCTCGAGGGGTCCTTGCCCTCGCCGGAGCCGCTGCCGCCGTTCTCCATGTTGGGTGGGTAGTCTCGACGTGTCGAGGCGCAAAGGCAGCTGGCGTAGGATGCACGAGAACGTGAGCTGCCGTGGGGGGTGGGTGCGTGGTGGTGACGACGGTGATGAGTTGAGGTTGAAAATGGAGAGATGAGATTTGGGCCTTGAGTCCCAGGTACAGAAGTACATTCCAGGTTAGCTCAGATGGCCCGCGATAAGGCTTGGGGCCCCTCGCACTGTGGCGGGGCCAGCGTCATGCACCGGGCCAGAGCCGCCGGCGTTAGCGCTGGACCCCCAGTGAAGCGACCGCCAACAGCGGCCCAGCACGCGTCTCCTGGCCCGCCGTGCTGGTTGGTGCGCGCCCGCCATCAACGGACGCCTTTTTTGTCAACCACGCGCTTCCAGCCAGCCCGTTGATGTTGCCTCTTTGTCTCACAGCTTCACTAGCACTATAAAACGCCCAGCTGCCACGCGCGATCCACGAATATCCTCCCCGTGAGGCGCTGGCACAGCTCAACGACTGCAGTCTCCACGACCAGGGCCATGGCGGACGGCGCCGCGGCATCGCCGCCCAAGAAGCTCAAGAAGCTGCCCTTCAAGCCCACGGCGCTGCGCAAGACGTCGCTGCCGAAGCTCGCCTCCAGCGACGACGACGACGGCGGCGGCGGCGGCGGCGGCGACAGCAAGGCCGACGCCAAGGACAGCAACGATGACGGGCTGGCGCTCTTCCGCAGGTCCAAGGAGATGGAGCCCATCATGGAGGCGGAGCGAGCGCGGAGGCTGAAGAAGAAGCAGCAGCGCGAGGAGGAGAAGCGGAAGCGGGCGTCCGTCAAGCTAGGCAAACGGCCGCTCGTGGACGAGGACGAGGACGGCGGCGACGCCGCACCCCGCGACGACGACGACAATGAGCCGTTGCCGTATCACGGAAGCCCTGTGAAGGAGCCGCCATCAACAGCAGAGTCCGACTCCATCCCAGGCGCGACAAGCCCACATCGTCCGGACAAGTCCATGACCCCAGACAAGGAGAGCTTCAGGTATACAGTCTCTGTCCACCAATGCGGGCGTACATGTGAGCTAACAGGCCATGCGGCAGTGATCTGGTCACGCCTCCATCATCGAAACGCTCAAGGATCGAGTCCACGCCCTCTGCCGTCCCGATACCAAGCTTCGAGGAGGCCAGAGCCGTCGACGTCGAGTCTCCATCGACGCGCATTCTCCGGTCGCATCAGAAGACAGGCACTCCATTCAAGAGCTCCCCACGTAAGGCGGCGGCAGCGCCCCAAAGCAGCAACAGCGTCATCATCTCCATCGACTCGGACTCGGACTCGGACGCCGTCTTCGAGACCCCTTCGAAGCGTCCGCCGAGCACCGACAGCATCGAAGTGCTGGACGACTCGCCTGCGCTGCTCCCGCCGGACGACGAGGACGCCGAGTTCGAGGAGTACGTGCGGAAAGCCGAGCGGCAGCGCGAGCGCGACCTGGCAATGTTACGGAATGGTGCGGGCGGCAGCTCCCCGGCCGTCAAAGACAACGTCGAGATTGTCGTGACGTCCGCCCTGGCGGGCTCGGAGCCTTTCGGCGGCCGGGTTCTCTACGACCAAGAGCTGAAAATAGTGCGTGACTCGTGGATCGCCAAACAACGACAGAAGGGCGTCCCTCTCCCAAGCCGAGAGATGGACGATTACATCCTCACCTGGCGGCGCAAACGAGTCTACGTCAGATCGACGCTGCTCAACCTAGGCATCCGGCCGCGACACGGGCGCGTCTGGGTGGACGGCAACGGCAAGGACGGGCTGACGGGCAACGGAAACCGGGTGCTGATGGAGATGTGGACGCCGGAGCTCTTCCAGGCGATGGAGCGCGACGAGGAGCTGCGCCGCAGGCGAGAGGCGGGCGAGTTGCCGGAGAGCGAGTACGGCGACGACGAGGAAGCGGGGGAGCCGGCACCCGAGGTCAAGATCAGGGTGATACTCGAAGCCAGGGGCCTCGAGGAAGTCAAGCTGACGGTGCGGCCCGAGACGACGGTCGAGACGCTCGTGACGGGGTTCCGCGCGCAGAGGGACGTGGCGCCGGACAAGACCCTGCGCATCATGTTCGACGGCGAGTGGCTCGAGGAGCACGTCACCATGGAGGAGGCCGAGGTCGAGGACATGAACAAGTTTGAGGTGCACTTTAGATAGGAGCGCCTGGGGGTGTTGCGGCGGCAGCGGTGACGACGGCGGCGGCGGTGGCGGCGGCGGCAGCAGCAGCAGACACGGACGACGGGGGCCCGACACGGGAGTGGCCAGCGTGCGTTTTCGTGGTAGCGATTAGCGAGAGATACCCCCTCTACGGATGAATGCCATGACGACTTCTCACTTGGACTTTGCGGCGAAAGCTTGCTTTTGTTCCTCGATCCCACCTTGACAGGCAGATATGTTGCAAGTGGGCGCATTCGTGACGACGACAAGCTACGACGACGATGATGACCACGTTTCGTCCACCATCACCGCCGTCGCCGTCGCCGCCGCCGCCGCCCGTAGACGCTGGGTTGATAAGCAGATTTGCCTCGTCTGACAAGCACATACGACCAAAGCCGCCATGATAATCGGGATCCCGTCCGATCTCCCAGGACAAGCTGGCGAGCGCTGGATTAGTAGCTGGGACGGTGACGACCAGCGAATACCCAGTGTTGTATGTCTGTTTTTTTTTTTGCCCCCCTCATCCCATTTTTTCCCTTAATATGTTTCTCTCCTTTTGGGCTCTTTCTTGTTCAATGGCATACGTACATGTCTCTTTGCCGTACGTACGTGACTTTCGGCACGTGAAACTCCGCCTCTGGCTCGCGCGCGAGTTCGAAACGCCCACCGACACTCACAGCACCGACCGGCACGGTTCGACTAGTTCTTTACGGAGTCCGTTTCTATTGTCTCGGACATCCTGTGGGACCATCGCCCTGTGGTACTTCAAGCAGCTCTTATTGAGCAGCCCAAAGTGCCACGCTAACTGGATGATATTTGAATTCGAGCCGCTGCCCTCGCACGCACGGGGGGCTCTGCGTTTAGACATCCATCTGCATTACCGTTCACCGAGATCTCAGAGTCAAAGACCTGCCAGGCATAACCGTAAAACCCTCGCCGGGTATTAGCACTGTAGTAAATATTCGAGCCTCCAGCGCCAGTTCTGTAATGATACACGGCCGTAGCCTGATGCGCCAGCTGCCCGCTTAAGAAGAGACGCCTCCCGTGAACCGCGGGGACTCGGCTCCTGCCTCTCACTTCAACATGCTCCGAAACGCCAAAGTGACCAAAGACCAAAGAAGCTTGCTCCGGTCTACACGAAAGATAGGCTGGCCCCATCGTCTAACAGCACTGCCTGCCCATATGGCCATCGACCCAAAGTATTACAACCCCCTCGGGCTTTCGAGGTGGAGTAGATGCCCCATATTCTGAGGAACCGTCTTAGGAGACACCGTGTCCTGCGGGATCGGCTCTGGCGCCGTGGTAGGGGTCGACGGCGCCGCCGAGCTTGTGACCGCAGACTCGCACGTAAAGTAGCTGTCTGAAGAGCTGCGACGCTGCGAGAGCTCTGGGCGCAGAGAAGGCAGCGCGAAGCCCTTCTCGGCTTCGTCCTTGACCACCACATCTCGCGGAGAGGCCTGAATGAATGCCTGCGGCGCCACTCGTGAGGGCAGGGAATCGTTTGGCGTGGCCTTCTTGCTGGCGTCGACCACGGTTGCCTTGCTCGTCTTGAGTTTCTGCATGAGGGTGTTCTTGGGGGGCGCCTTGTCCTTTGCCGCTTGCTTGGGCTTGCGAGCGCGAGGCTTGGATATCTTGGTGCCGGGCTCCTTTTTGGGCACGGGCTTCCCAACGGCGGGCTTGCCAAGCACAATCTTGGTCTGCTTCGCCTTCGCGGGCCCCTTGCTGGCAGAGACGGGAGGGCTCGGACGCGGCGTCGGGATGGCTTGCATATCCTCGATCTGTTTCGGCTTGGCCTCGAGATGCACCTCCATGGTTGTCTTAGTCGGACTGCTCGGGATGCCGACCTCAATGCTGTTCTTGCGCAGGAAGCCCATCTTCTCGTCGTACTGCTCCTGTGACATCTCGAAGTTGTCCCCGATTTCACAGTCGTACGGTGGCAGGCTGGCGAGGCGGGCCACATCATCGCATTTGGAGCGGACAACAAGATCCCAGCAGTCCTTGAACTCAACACCCTTGGGCTCCGGGTCGATGTTGACCCAGGCAGTGAAACCGTCCTTGCGGCCGCGAGCGACTTGGCACATTTCCTTGACGAGACGCCGCGTGCCGGGGACCTTGAGGGTAGTACCGACAACGATGACGGCGTCGGGGCGGGCCTTGAGATCGGCCCTGGCGACGTTGCCGATGGCCTCCTCGTCCGGGTTGAACTCGTTGTACAGAACGAACCTGGGCCTTAACCGGCCGATGCCGTGGCTGCGCTTGCCAGCATGGGTAGTGCGCACCTCATCATGCTCCTTGCACATGCCGCAGAGGGGCGCCTCGGGTCCGTTGAATAGGTCGCCATTGAACGGCTTGAGATCGCCACACTTTGTGCACACCATCTTCTCAAGGCCACCGTGCAGCTGGACCGTCTTGGGCCAGGGGCCCTTGGGCTCGAGAGGCACGCTGGTGTGCAGCGGCGGCATCGAGGTGTCGATGCAGTCAATGTTCTGCGAGTAGAGTCGGAGAAGGCGGCCTTCCTTGGCGAGGGAGGCCAGCAAATGGTGAAAAGGCGTGGGAGTGGCATCCTGGACCATGCCGGCCATCTCCCTGACCATGGTGTGGAAGGACTGCGTGGATGAGTCGTGCTTGTAGACGGAGGCGTCGAAGAGGTGTTTGCCCGAGGCCTTGAGCTTGTGCTGGCTGCGAGCCGTGGCGAAGAGACCGGTGGAAGAGCGAAAGTCGGGGATGCCAGCGGATACAGAGATGCCGGCGCCAGCGATGACTACAATCTTCTTCTTCTTGTGGAGGGCAGCGAGGAGACGCTGCAAGTGGAAGTTGTCCTCATGGGTGAAGTCATCATTGGGCTTCATGAGGTCGAGGTACATGGTGGTACGGTCCTTGGGGGCCGCGATCCTTCTCCTCTTGGTAGGGCGCGGGCTGTCGTCCATGGGCTCTCCCAGCTTGACGGGTGACTGCGTGCCAGACGGAGCCGACGAGGTAGGCGAAGGATAGCGACTCGATGGATCCGGGCGCTTGTTCTGCTGGCGGCTCGGCTGGTGCAGGAGAGGCGAGCCAGGGACCGAGGGCGTGCTAGGAAGACTTGAGAGCGGTGAGGAAGGCGAAGAGACGGGATCTGATGCCGGGGCGGAGGAAAGCGGACTGGACAAGTTGGTGGCGGTTGCCGCCATGGTGGTGTCGGCCGACATGTTGCCAGTGTCAAAGGCGATGCGGCGGGCGGTGGTTCAAAGGCGGACGATGTGCAAAAGAGGCAAGCGCCCGGAGCCAGTCGAGACAAGGGCGAAGGCGAAAGCAAGGAGCCGCGGCGACAAAGGCGGAAGGGGACAGGCGAGGGGGCGCGGACGACTCTCGTCAGACCATTGCGCGCATCGACGTGTGTCGTTCGTGTGCGGCTCGCGCGTGTCCAGCCGGCCGGGGGGGGGGCGGTGTTCAAGGTCACGGAGGCACGAGCCAAGGCGGGGACCGCAGGCGCGGAAGCCGCTATGCGCCGCGTCGCTGGGGTTCTCGAAAGGAGCGGTGTCGGGGTGTCGTCGCGGCCGCCGCTGCATTCGAGTGGTGTCGTGAGGCGTCGTGGTCGGGGGAGGGAGGGCGATTGAAAGAGGAGGAGGAGCGAGAGTGGGAGAAGGAGAGAGCGCGAGGCTTGAAGTCGGCCAAGGCGTAAGGAGCGGAGGCGGCGGCGGTCGGTCGGTGCGGCGGGTTCGGGGGAGGAAGGAGGAGCGGGCGGGCGGGTCACAGGCAGGTACCCTTCCTGAGACGGGGCTTGGGGGGCTGCTGCTGCCACTGTTTACGACTGCCCACCTGCCACCTCCGAGTACCTACCCAGGCGGGACGGCTAAGTTGGAGGGCTCAATCATGCTAGCGCCCTCGGGCTGGCTGGCCGTCTTCCTCCATCCATCCCGTCCGTCCCCTTCGCACCCGCACAAACAACAAGCGGCCAAAACAGACCGTCTGGACGCATCGAGATGTTTGGTGGGTCTGTCTCCTGATGGCATTGCGCGGTCTCTTCGTTCGTTCCTTGCCCGTGGTACGGCCAGCTTTGTCAGATTTTGTGCCGCCCGCCAGAGAGCATTTGAGCCGGCAGTGCACATGCACCTCCATGCTTCGGGTGCCCGGCCGCGAGTCACGGTCCGTCGCTCCCAAGCGAATTGCGCCGTCATCGACTGTTTGGTTTTTCCAGATGGACTACACACACAGCACAGCACAGCACAGCTCCTCCTCCGCCACCCGCCACAGGGAGGTAAGCTTTCATGGCTGCCCCTTCTTCCTTCGCTTCAGCTCGCCGCGCGGACAGGACAGCGCGCGCGCTCACTCACCGACAGACAGACAAACGACAGTCAGGCGGGCTGCGCGAGCCGAGGCCGCATCCTGGAAGCGAGGACCCGCCGCTGCGAATACCAGCCGGGCAGTGAATATCGCGCAGGACAGGGCGCTGGGCCGCAGGGCCATCACAACACAACACGCTCACGCACACGCACACATCGTACCCACGGTCGAATTTCGTTGCAGCTCGCGAGTGCCGAGACGGCTTTTCGTAGCGAACCGCCTAGCAAGTGATGCCTCAACCCCAATCGGTCGCTCGCGGCGGCGGCGGCGTCCGTTCGCAGACTCCATCCACGTCAACGGCCAACTCGCTCAGGCGAAAGGGCACTTGGCCGCTCGTGGCTGCACGTCACGGCCATGTCTTTGAAATGACGGTGGGGACGACGCAGGGCACTGAGTGCCATCAACCCCAGTGGGACGGACGGGCGGCGGCCAGGGAGGGCCCGGGGCGGGTCCGGTTCCCTAGACGACGGCGGCACTGGCGCTCCAGCGGGGGAGACGCGCCCCACAGCTGCCCAGGTGGTCTTGGTGGTGCAGCGCAGTGCAATGCAGTGCAGCGCATCGATCCGTGAATGTCAGGGCAGCCCTGGCAGGGAGTGCTTCCAGAAGGCAGCCCGGAAAATGGGCGGCATTCCCAATTTGGATGCCCGTCAACAACACCACCCACAACGGCCTCGTCGACCGTCTTTGTCTGACTGCGTGGGTGCGTCGCCCTCGTTCACGCATTGGGAATGCGTGCGCGATGCCTCGGCGACGTGGACCCATGCAATCTCACCATGTTTCGTCGTCCATGTTGTTTGGCGGTGGCAGCTCCGACCCATGGCCAGCAGCCGTGGCTCTCAGGGCACAGTAGACGGCAAGGCACGAATTCCTCAACACCAGGTTCCTCAACCGTCACTACGTTCGTCCCATGTACTCATATTAGCCTTGTATGCTGCCGTCATGTATGTCTGTCTATCTATACACGCTTCGCTACTGTACAGTTGTCGTACATTGTACACTCGCCCTCCGATGCCTCTACGGCGTCAAGGTCGTCAAGGCGCACTCGCCGCGGCTGGCTTCTTCGCCGCCGCGCCCGCCGCCATGCCTTCGGGGGGCGTCCACAGCTCAATCACGGCAGCCTCGGGGGTGATCCTCTCGCCGCTCCCGCGTCGCGGCCGCCGCCTCTCCGTCCGGTTGAG